CGTCGTGCAGGGTGCGACTAACATCTTCACGACGATTCACTCGATGGACATGAAATATCTACACATCGACAAAACGTAAGTGACCTCACCCTCATTCAGATTTTTGCTCTTTGGATGTGACGTACTTTAATCTTCCTTTTTTACCGATTTCATTCGCGTATGTTTAGTCAATGCACTCATACAGTGTGTAGGCGCATTGTCTTTGAGCGTGCTTTGTATTTTTTACTTTTTTATATTTTATTTTTCTATACATATTAACACCATACATGTATTATTTTAATTTTAAGTGAAATTAATTATTCTATAAATTGCATTAATTAATTTATAGAATGACAAAATGATGCGACCACGTAACCGTATGTTCGATAAATTCGCACAATCGTACGTTAACTCAGTTTGTTCACATTATTATTGAGCTGGAAAGAATAGATATATTATTTTTTCATAAGGAGTAGGCATTACAGCTTGTCACAATTTCATCACTGATATTAACGAATATTGCTTCATGTCAACTAATCATCAATACTTTTTCTCAGTAGTTACAAACAACTACAACATTATTATAAAAGGATTTTCTAAAATAAGATTAGTATTAATACCCTAGTAATAATAAATTTGAGTACTAATAATATTAAACTTTAATAATAATTTAATAATTTCTTCTACTACTTTTTATTATACGAGTTTATTCGCAAATAATTTCTATTCTGACGTGTACGTGTACGTGATAGTAATATATACGTATGCGTATATATTATTGTACAATAATTGAAGGTATTTTACTATATGGTAACAAGTAAATGAAAGAATATCATTTTTTATAAAAATATTTACAGCGGTGAAAGTCATATGGAATATGGGCGTTCGGATCTTGTTGGTGTTTCTTGGTATAATCTCCTCCATTGGGACAGTATACGTACTGCTTATTGTAAACACCAAACTGGTATGTCAGTCTTACATATCAAGAAATTTTAATTAAATTGTTTAATTTTATAAAAGTTGATTATTTAGTTATTCAGTCTGATCAAGAAAGATCAAGTACAGCTTTACTAAGATTACAAAGTCGCTCTGGAAGATGGTTTTGGATACACTGTGTATTACAAGTCAAAGATACATCTGACGAATGCCAACATCCTATTATTGTTTGCACCAATCAAGTATTAAGGTATTCATTTCAGTGCTATTTTTTTAATTTAAAATAAATATTTATTTTTATACAAAAATATACTTTTACAAAATAAAAATATTTAAAATTTCTAATTGTACAAAAGAATATATTTTAAATATGTTGCAACGTAAAACATATTTTTATATAATCCACTCGTATTTACTGATTTAATAGTGGTAGAAAGATTTATCCAGTGAGAAAGATACAATATGATAGAGTGAAAGTAAAAGTGAAAGAGTAAAAATGAGAGAGAGAGAGAGAGAGAGAGAGAGAGAATCTATACTTTAATACAACATAAAAAATACATTAATAATAATTTAATTTAAGAAATTTATATTTAGAAGAATTGTTATAATTGATAATTATGATTATGATACAAGGTATATCCGAAGTGTTACATTTATATATAATACTGAAATAACATATTAGCATTTACTTGTTTTTTATAATTATTAACAAAATCTAAGCAATATTGTATTCTTTTTCAAAATTGTTTAAGATTCTGAGAAAAAGTATTTGTTCTTTCTTGAAAAATATAACTTTCTTAATGGATTCAAAGCCATGTCTATTTAATGAAATGTTTAATTCTTATAACAGTGAGAAAGAGGCTGACATAATGCGTGCTAGTTCCTGGCTGTATCAGTATTCATCTCAGACTAAATTTACATACGGAGTGTGCCCGAGTTTACCACTGATCGGACCTCAGGCCCAGGCTCAACAGCAGCAGCAGCACCAGCAGCAGCAGCAACAACAACAAGAACAGCAAGAACGACAACGACAACAACAACATGCAACTAATCTTGGTTACGGGCCGGAAACGATTGCCGTTGTCACAGCCGCTACAGATTATGGGGATGGGCAATCGCCCACGATGACTATTGCCTATAGTTTGCCACCTCCGCCACCTCATGAACTTGAGCTTACTGTATCTTATCAACCAAACCATAGTCTGGACGATGTACAATTCGCGCCCTGGACCAAGGAACGGCCGCTCGTCAAGCAAGAGCCTGTAGAGGTATACGTTTATTCATCACTTTATCTATATCTCTCTTTCTAGTTGCCTTATATATCTACACGTTTTAAACTATCTTTCCTCTATCAAACCGATTTTATGTTAACTGCAACTTTATTATACTTCTCATTATCCAAAAGTAATTGCATTTTTTCCAATCTCTTGTAATACTTCATTTTTTATTTTTGTGATACATTTACATTGTTATTTATATTTTGTATTACACATTGTTGTTATTTACTGATTATTTACATTTTATATTAGAAAAAATGGGTAAAAATTAAAAGATTTCATACAATAAATAATTTTTAGATAAAATAAATGTAATATATTTTTAAATAATCTAAAATTATTTTATTTTATTTCTTTGCAAATATTGTATAATTTTATATACATTAATCTTATAACATTATATACATTAAATCTTTGAATATTTATGTACTTATGTATTAATTAATAAATATAAATTTCGACATACAATTAGATGTTATATACATTTTAATGTTACTTCTGCAGATGATTTAAATAGCATTGTTATAAAATTGAATAATTCCTTTTTAATTTTTCATAGTAAAGGACTATGTTCTAGTATTATGCTAATTTTGTCTAATTAGTACAATCGTTTATATTATAAATACATAAATAATAAATAAATATGAATCGGATAAAAAACTATAATATATTTGTATGTAATAACCATTCTTTTCATGTATCGAACTAAATAAATTTTATTATATTTGTTAATATTATATCCAATTAAAATTAATACATATTTTCTAAATTTAATATTATGAATTGCTATGAAAATGTTATCATAACAAATATGTATTAAAAGAATTGTCGAAATTGCTGAGATAATAGAAATATCCTTTTTTTTTCAAGCTTTGAATCAAATGTCAAGATATAGGAATAACGCTTGCACGTGTATAATATCATTTACCACGATCATTTAATAAAAAATTAATGTAATATCAACTAATAGTGACTAAATTTTGTTGTCAACTTTTTATGTATCAGTTCAATTTTTTATACCTCCAAATAATAGAACATTTAATGTTTTTATAACATTCAACGTTCTGGAGATGCATGCAGGAATAATTTAACAAAGTTGATACATAATTATTTGAAGATTAAAATGGGATTTCGGTACAGGTATATGGTGATACAAGCGCTCAACATACAACAAGAAGTCATAAAAATGTTCATGGACAAGAAATGGAGGCCGTAGAACCTGTTGACATGTCGATCAATAATAGCACCTCAGAACTTGACGAGCAGCGACATTCTATGCAACAGTGCTCCAATTCTGGGCCTCCAGAATTTTGCCCTTGTAATAAGGCTCACTTATCTGTGGTGAGCCATCGCCCTCTTACTTCCTATTTTAGATTGTTAAAGCTCATAAAAAAAATTTATTTTATAAAGTTTTAAATGATAATATTTGTTTAATATCAAAGGGTATGTTTTATTAAAAATTTCTACATTAGCATAAAATGAGCTCATATTGGTAGATAATCGTAACTTGTAATATAAAATTAATGAAAAAGAATATTAATAAATTTCTGTAGTCATTTCGATTTTTTGTAATAAATTTGGAATATCAATTAAAATGTATGGTGAAACATAATAATTTTGTAAACTTTTCAAAAGGCAATAGAGTTCGAGACAAAAATGACATATTTATAAATGATTTAAATAAAAAAATTCTATTAAAAATGATGCAGTCAGTATAGAATATAAATTTTTTATGTTTTAACGATTTTTCAACTTTTCATTTCAAAATTTAATGTAAAATTTTAAACCTATTTTCTTACAATATGCAATGAATGAACAATTTTTTATTTTAAAAAAACCAATTTTTGTAATAAATATAGCAATTGTAGTGTAATAATAATAATGGAATACTTTCTTAAGGCGTATAGTTCATCTAATTTAATTTTATACATTGTATATAATCAATTTTGATGCTATATTTAAAATGATTATGATTTTTAATATTTTAAGTAGTATCATATACTTGTCTAAATAGATTCTTTTATTTTTTAACTGATTAATAAATATATGCTAATGATTATCGCATAATATTTTAAATAGTGTGAATTATTGATATATATATATATATATATATATATATATATATATATATAAGTGTAAATGATATATAAAAGATAGCTTTGATATCAGAATATTGAAAGAACATTTAATTAGAGAAATTGGATTTAAAATATGCATCCTTCATATTTTAATTGCATTTTTTATATAAAATTTTTATTTCGTCTCATAATATTCCTCAATAATAATTGTGCAAATGATACGATATTACTTCAAATAATTGAAGATAATGTTCCTATCAAACAGTCATTTCTATAATCACATTCAATATTTGAGATTAAATTTAAAGTATTTATTTTAAGGAATATATTATGAAATGTGAATACTTTTTTTATTTGACTAAAAAAGGTTGGTGATTCAAATCAGATTCCGCACAATGAAAAAAGCCCGAATCGTTCAATATCAACGGGTCTCTCTTACTTGCGACCCGGAAGTAAGTCTCTCGCGCATTTTCTCGCCAATCAGCAGCAACAGCAACAGCAGCAACAACAGCAGCAACAACATCAGCAACAGCAGGAGCAACAGCAGCAACAGCAGCAGCAACAGCAGCATTCGCCTCAACAGCAGCAGCTGCATCAACAGATGTCACCAAGCATGGTTCCAAGTCCAGACAACAACGGCCTTAAGTACAACATCGTCGACTTGGATAAGCTCGGACAGATAGAGAGCACGGAACATCATCTTTATGGGCCAACGTTCTCGCAGAAGCGTCAGCTACTTCTGCTTCATCAAACCAAAGCCTCGACGCAACCTTGTGTCGAATCACATTCCTGCATCACCGATGGCGCAAATCATCACCACGTTCTCCATCACACGGTATGATGCTCTCCTGGATTGATTCATTAGATATATGAACGTCATATTCTAAAATTTAGTAGCAATAAGTTATATACAGTACCTTAGAAGTGATTAAATTGCTAACAGCGATTTCTTTTCTGTTTAATTTAACTAAATAAATATCCTTTGGCGTTTTCTGTTAAAACGGAATTCTCACATATTCCCTGTTTTATACATTATATAAAATGATTTATAATACCAAACTTATAATGTAAGTGATTTTTCTTGCAATTATTTTTATTGAGCTAAAACTTCTATATAAATATTGCTATTGGCTTAAACTATTCTTTTCATTTTCTTATTATTATATTTTGATTATTTTTGTTATATTAAGTAAAGTGAATTTACTTCAATAACCTTACGACCTAAGTCACTGAATGTTCTTTACCTATTGAATTAAAATAGTATAATGATTTTCTAATGAAAAATTAAACATCAAATTTAATAATTAGATAACAAGATAGCAATAGTATAAAATTAAATAATAATTAGTAATATTGATTACTAATGATCGATAGTATTTCAGTATTCAGATCGTTCGTGGAAAGTTTGTTTTATTTAAAAAAATATTAAAAGTTTAAAATGCATAGTTTAAACTAATATTTTAAATGATTTATTATTAATTTTTATAACTTTGCAATAAATTTTTTTACTTAACAGTTTTAACAACTTGAGAATTGATAAACGTTTTACTTCGTAAAAACTTTAAAAATTCGTGTAGTATATAATTATCAATACTTCATTTACATGAATACTTTTGGTTTAAATATGTTATATTTTCATTCTTTTATTCATGTAAATAGCTAAAAATTATTTTATATATCTAAGAATGGATAAAATGAATATTAATGATCATATCTAAAAAGTATAATAAAGAGACTAAATTTGTAATAATTTAAATATTTTATTATAAAATATTTAGTTTAATAATTATTTATTTTTATTCTTTATGAAAAAAACACTAATAAATATCACTTGCCAAAAATTACCTTGTATTAGTATTATACATATATTGTTTTTTTAAGATTATCATACTTTTTCACATTTTAATTAATATATAATATAGTGATAGTTTATAAGGGAAATAGTTAATGTTGTATATAAATATATAAAATACTAATTGTAATAAGAGTTTTTTACAATATGGAGATAAGTAAAGCAAAAATGTAGATAAGGTATTTTTATATTATAAATGCTTTTTAAAAAATAGATAATTATTTTTGAAAATATGCTTATTAATAAAAGAATTTTCATACAGGATTAAAGGTATAGAATTATTTTAACCTAAAGTCTTTATGAATTTAAAAACTTGAAAATATATCTTTATTTTATTTATATAGATATAAAGTTTCAGATGCATCTGAAGAAACTATTCATATACATATATCATTGAAAGTCGATTGTGTCTTGGTTTGATATATATCCAAAAAATAGTCATTATATGTTTAAGGCACACAAATTTATTTATATTGAATTGTAAAAATATATATAATATATAAAAATATCAGTATACATATAAATCATGTTAACCATTCATGAAATGAGAAACTAATTACACATATATTACTGAAGTAATGTCCAAATATTATTTCTGTAAATTTGTAAAATATTATCTAAATATAACTGCAATTACAATATCTATTAGTTTAAAATATCATTTTAAATAGAAAATAAATAGAATAATTTCATTTACTTAAATTTTTGTCACATCATTTATATTACTTCTATAGGTTTCAGATACAAACCAAAGATAATAATATTTGTAATGTAAAATCTATATTCTATTTGATAAAGTAAATATTTCTTGGTTATATTTCAAATTTTTTTCGATAAATTGCATATAGAGTCAAACATGAAAACAAATCATGAATATGTCTAACATAAACCATTAGTGCATGTTTATGCATACCTAGGTGCATTCATATATGCATTAATAGCTATTCTAGATAAAATTATTAAGTTACCTATGATTTTCAGTTAATCTTTGACTCTACGTCAAACGTCTCTATCAACGTTTTTAAAATTTTATAATATACATGCTACATAAAATACCTCGATAATACATTCTAAAGTATAAATAAAGTAAAGTATTATCTGCCAATATATACAGGTTATCAATATTAAAATCTCAAAAATGATATTCAACATTTAAAGATTTAAATACAAAATTTAAGTACTGATATATTCTTTTTTAATTGTGAGTGGTGAAATTTGTAACTTTTAATAATCTACATTGATGAATTGATGAAAATTTAGAACAACATTGATATGCACAATGATATGGTTATGGTAATAAATAGGAAATAAATAAATAAATAAATGGGATGCAAAGATTATACTTTTACCACTATATAGTTTGTAAATGAAGAACATAAAATAGTTAATTTAAACTAAGGAAGTAAATTGGGATGAGTATACCGACGGAGGAATATTTGGTTTATGCGTTAATTTAAATCAAGATAGTTTTGGGTCATTTTATACAACTGCAGGAAAAATAAAATAACCTAATTTTTTTAAGGCAAGAAAGAAAATTTTTATCGTGAAAATTAGGTTATTAACCCTTTTAACGCGGAACGGCATGTAAATAATGGTTAAAATATTGAATATAGAAGCCATTCAAATTTAATTAGCCCACTGTGACACTACTTCATAAATTATGTATGCCGACAATTATGATTCTCTAATAAAGTACTATTCGGTTGCTATTGTTCAACTATATTTTTTACGATTAATATTGAAACGGTGAAAAAAATAAAGTGCGAAAAATTGGAGATCGATTGAATTTGAAGAGTTTTAAAGGGCTGTCCTCCGTCGGTTGTCGAAACTGTAGATGCAGCACCCTACGATGTTAAAGTCATCGATGAGTGGTAAAAGTATCTCGGCAGACCCTCAGACAGGGAAATCTAGCTAAAAATCGCGTTGATTGTATAAATGTCTCTGTGTGACATGTACCAGGAGCAGTGGACGAGTCCGAGCGGAACAACAGTCTCGTCACCAGCAGGCAGTCTTTGGCCAGATTGCGGTCTTCAAAGGGTTCCGGACGTCGTGCACCAGGATCTAAGTCCATACATAACAACTCCGACAACGCCAGCTGACACAGCCGATGACTCTTCAGATCATCAAACTCCTGAGACACCGGTCTCGGTCTTCAGCTTCGATTGGCCTGGCGAACAGCACGTGCCCAACCTACGTGTCCTCTCGTTTCGTAGTAGCAGCGCCCCAAATTATGCCGAGACGAGGCGCACTGCGCTCCAGGAAGTTCAACCTATCACCCTCCAATTGCCGAGGAAGAAAAACCTTCATGCCGAGCCGGCTGGCCATCGGGATTATGCCAAGTGATCGATATACCCAAGGTCCATCTTTTCCTCGAACAATTAGTGGTTAATGGTGGCTTCCTTGCTTTTATTCTTGCTCCTCATCCAACCCATATTCTCGCACTTTTCCTTTTTCCTCTACAATCGTTTCTTTTTTTGTTTTCTCTTTCGTATAAAGTGTGCCTTTCGAGTTGCGCACGGAGAGAGTGTGTTTGCGAAGTGCTAAGCACTATTGCAACAACATGGATTGATCGGCTTTTTCGCTTAAACTCTTCTACAATAGCCAAGTTTACAACATCTGATTATGATTTTTTCCATTTTTTCTGGCTTTGCTTTCAAATGTATTTCTCATGAAATAATAATTCAGAATTGAAGATTTCCACACTCTGAATTTTCAATGCGAACAATCACTATGACCTAAAATATTAATCAATATTATATATTGCAACACGGGATTTTATAATTACTTATGTGAATATTTATATTTATCTGTTTATATAAATTAGTTCATGTATAAAATTCAAAATCTAAGTTAATTTATTTGTCGAGCTATTGTAAAACCATATATGAAATGTTTTAATCAACTGAAAGAGAGTTGTGTAGGAATGTAATAAAAAATAAATCAGTTAAATAATGCATATGCAAGCTATTATATTTTATCAAGAAAAAAATTAAAATCACTTTGATAAAATTAAATGCTCTAGAAATCATATTATTTTTCTTACTTTAATTAAACTTTTTTTCAACGTTAATAAATTTTATTTATTATTTAAGATTGTAAATGAGAATCAAACTTTTTAAGAATTACCTAGGTTTTAGCATATTATTACTTTATATTAATATGTTAGATTATTTAATTAAGGTAGCTAAACATTATCATGCAATTATAAGTATTTGTATTTCAAATCAAATTTTAGTTATTAATAATTTATTAATTATTCCTATTAAAAATTTTAATTTAAAATGTAATTTATTAAAAAGTAAACTTTTAATTATATTTCTAGGTGCGTATATATAATAGAATGTATAATAACTCTTCGATAAGTTAGTATTTCAAATTAAAATCAATTTCCTTTTTTTTGTTTAAGACTTTAAATGTTTAGAATTCTTATATTATTTTTATTACTTTAATAGTTGTATTTTCTCTCCGTGCAGCGAATATATGTGAAAGAAGAGTTGAGTTTTCATGGATTCTTTTCTCTTTCTTTTTTTAGTGTGATACTTGTTGTAATGTAATAAGATAACTCGTTCATTTATAGTGGAGTGTATTATAGGATTTTTAATATCGTAAAAATTTTATCCTCGCGTCTGAATCTAATCTGCCGAGAATTTATTATGGCTATTTAGTGATATTAAAAATTAATTTATTATAAGATGAAATTCATAATTAAAATAAATAAAATTGCATAAATTCCAATTTAATAAATATAAAAATATGATGAAATTTTAATTTTTTAACAAAATAATATCTTCAGTCGCCATAAAAAATTCTTCGTTTAGTATTTTCCTAATTCAGTGTACGTAAGTAGTTGCCAATTTGTATAGCTAAGAGTTATAAGTAGGAAGATTTAAAGTGTGATTTTAAATTAAAGTATAAATCTATTCAACGTGTGATCCTTTATACGAGGTATATTATCAATTGATGTCAATATACAGCAAAATAAGAATTAAATCTGAAAACGATGATTAATTTTTTGTTAACTTTGCGTAACTACCCGTAGCTACGAATATTTAATTGATTAAAAATGTATCGAATTATATTTTGAGAAAGAAAGCATAATAATTTTAAAATATTCTAGTTTTTATATAAAAACCATGGTTTTACAACAATAAATGTCTCTATTTTTATAAAATGTCGTAAATAAATATGCGAAGCTGAAAGTAATATTTTAAAAGATATAATATTTTTACAAAATATTTTGAATTTGAGTATATTTACATTGGAGAATTTTCATTTGCTAAAAGGCCGGTAGAATTATTCTTATATAATTGTTCCTAATACTTTAAAAATTTATATTATAAAAATAGTTCGTAAGCTATAGCTTCGATACAAGTACTTACTATAGAAAAATAGATTTAGTTAAGTATAAAACTCTCAGATGTAAATATAATCAATATATTTTTAAGCATCTAAATTGTATGTGTGAAAGGCAATAATAGCATAAATTATTTTCTATTAATTATAACATTTGCTTTTATTGATTCAAAATTATTTTTAAAACGAAAAAATTGCATCTTAAGACGAAATTTGTACTCATACATTTATTGTACGTAAAAATCATGAAGATCGATGCCTTTAAATTAACATGTTTCTTTATTTTTCATTTTTTTTTATAGAAAGAAAGTCCCTTACGTCAATATTTTTATCGAGTTTGATGCAATTCAATAGAAAGCTTTTTCTTGCATTATGCATTATAAAATTAATTTTATAATTAATAATAGAATATTTAAATAATATCTTTATCTATTTTTTTAAGTCCAGTTATATTAGTGTATACAGTTTTATGCGTTTTAACAGTAGACGGCTATGTCTCATTACTTTTCTTGCCATTTTCGCATTAATATAATTTCCTCGACTTCATTTATGTTTATATTCTTTCTTTCTTAATTTAATAATAATAATGATAACACTTAAACAAGCGATACTGAAGACGATAAAATGTTTAACGTTCGAGGGACTTTTCCTATTGATTACTTTAAGTAATCGGCCAAAATTTATTGCTTTGTGTATACGCCGTAGTTGATAAGAAAACGAATACGTCATTTATTTTTCTTTTATTCTTGTTTTATTGCATCTTATAATCTTTATAATATATTTATTAAAATTAAAATATGGGATTTTGTGTACATGATATAATTGTAATATTCACATATGAAATTTTTTCATATTAAAATTTGTTTAAATCATTAAATTAAATCGCATTTAAAAAAGCAACTGGTTTGTAGTGTGTTAATTATCGTATATAACAATAAATATTTCTCTACTTAGTAAATAATATTCGTCAAATGTATAATATTTATAGTAACATTTTAAATCGCTAAAAATGCAGATAATAAAACCCACCCAATTATTTTATAATTTATCTATCAAAAAATTGTAATAGGCGAAATGAAAAGGTTAATAGAATCATACTTAATGATACTTAATACAGTACATTAATTTCCATAGTTACAAAATAATTATATTATACAGTTTATATTTAATGTGATATTTATACAAATGCATTATTTGAAATTATAACAGGTCTTGTTCTCTTACCATCTGTGTACAAATTGCGTTCGCAATGTTTTGTTGAACGGGAAACAACCAGTCGTCAAAGAAAAAAAGAGATATAATATAAAAATAAAAAAACACTGTCAAGCTATTTAACTCTATTGTAGTACGAATAAAAATTGTAAATTATGAAAAATAAAATTCTTTTTCAAAAACGTTGTTTTACATTATAGAGATGTATCATAGCTTATTTGTACTCTTTTTATATTTACTCGATTTTTTTTTTCATCGATTTGAATACTTTCTCAAATGAGAGTGCAAATATTACCTTAGATAAGTAAAGTATAAAGTTACTTAATATAATGTATTAGTCTATAATAATATTACGTTTAATTACAGTCAAGAAATCGTATTACATAAATGATGTTTTGAATTGAAAATTGAAATTGAAAACTCAATAACAATTCGAATATTAGGTCTAGAGATAAATTTCATAATTTCACAAAGATTTGTAAAAGTCATAAATCTCAGATAAATAAGTATCGAAAAATTATATATATACATGCTTGATGATTCAGGCAACTCTCTTTATGATAGTATACGCGTAATATATACACAATAATAAAGTAAGATACCATATACCGTAATCTTTTATCGTTTCTATTTCAACAATATTCCACACATTTTTTTCTCAAAGTACACATAGTTCACATAACTTAAATTTTACGAGTTGCGCGAGTTTTTATGACAATCCATTATGCCCGTTATCGAAGGAATTGAGTACATCCCTTTTTACTTTTTACGCAACATTTAGAACTGCGAAAAAAGATGTAATCGAACGTATATAATATGAATATGAGATCGTATGCATGGCTTGCTATTATGAGGAAACAAAAGATTCAAGACTGAATGTAAACGTAAAGAAAAGAAAATGCAGTCGCAAAAAGGGAAAACAATAAACTCTAAAATAATGGATTGTACGATAGATGCGTTTTATGCTGTCTCTTAAAGATTCCACATATCGTACATCTCTTGTTAATCTCGTGTAATAATAATAATAATAGTAATAATAATAATCATTATTATTATTAATTATTAATTATTAATTAATTAATAACTTTTTTCATAAAAACGCGTTCTCATGTATAAAGAGTACGACTCGTGTGATTTATTTTTGTTATAATAAATTAGTTTACATTTATATATGTTTCTGATAAATATCGCAACGAGCGACTTTTTAACAACAGTTTAATGGTCGCGTCCTATTTTCTTTCATTTTTTTTGGTTTTGTAATTTCTAGATATCAATCGGTTATTTATGCATATAAATTTATACCATATGTTTGCCACTCATTGAACCTCCATCACTCACAAGCACATATACACTCCAGTATCGTCGTCGATACTTATCTTTGCACAATTAAAAAATTTATTTTTGCTTATTTGTTTAAATTTTTTCTTTGTTTTTCAAAATACTCGATGACTATAAGTATTCTACTTTTCACACTACATATCCACTATTCGTCATGCTTTATTTTTATTGTTAACATGAGGATTTTTTTATTTTAATTGTTGATAGTCTAAACCACATACATAAATATAAATTGTTAGCATATCAGTGTTTATACAATTTGTTTTATTGATATTATAATTATTAATATCACTATTAATATTAGTAATTATTTTTATAATTATAATTATTACGAAATCTTTTCCTATGTTTATCACTTAATAACAGTTGGAACACAATTCGCACGTGATAAGTTAAAAATACATTTGTATTCATATATATGTGCATAGTTAAAAATATTGTATTCGTATATTTTGACCTCGGAGCTTTTCTCTTTTTATATGAAATTCATTTCACTGTTATCGAATGTTAAATGTTGTTTAACTATACAGATGAAATATGAGATACTTTGTGAACTGTACTTTCCAATTTTATACTGTCCAAATATACCTGTATATCTGTATATATGTTTGTTTACATAAGAATATTTATGTTTATATATTTATTCGTTGCAAGTTATTTATTGGAAAAGAAGCTTCTATACATAAATAACAAATTGCACAAAATTTTAATGTAGTATTTATGGGATAAAAAGTATATAATAATTAAAATATTCTACTTTCTTATGTTAAATTTTACACTAATTATATTAGAAAATATTCGTCTACAACTTAAATAACATTTTTTAAATATTATAAAATTTAATTGATTAGTATTGTAATTAAAACGTAATTTATGTCTCTGAAGTAAGTATGAATTAATTTATTAAATGGCCTATATTTCCATATAGTTAAGTTTGTTTTTCATTGTACACCTAAACGAATAAAAAATGTACGCGTTTTCTTATTGCAAATGGGGAAATGCATGATATTTTAAGTAATTCTCTATATTTTTCATCGTATGTACAAATTTTAACGTAGTAATGATTTAAATAATAATATAATGGTGCAGTATTAAAAGAAAATTATTTAAATAAAATAAAATAATTGAATATTTTAAATTTGGTTTGTAAATTTGTAGATATTATTGTACATATTTTATGTTTTATTAATTACATAAATATTTATTTTCTGTAAAAATGTTGATACATATTAGATTTAATAGAGTATATAAAATTTAAAAGCATAATTATTGAGAAAAAATCTAATTAGTGAAATTGTTATAATATATAGAACTCTTATATTTGCATGTATATTAATATGTCTATTGTTCATTAGTACACTGATTCAAAGATTTTCTTCATTTTGCAATTCAATTTCAATTTCATTTGTTTTTTTTTATAAAAGTATGTAATTGTTTTAATAAATTTTATTTATTTTTCACCAAGAAGTACAAACAGCTGTCGTTTACAGTAATATTGTTTACAGCTTGATTATTTAAATAAAAATTTTGTTAATGATTAGAATTAACTTTTTTCTTTAGTTTACAATCGTAATATAAGATTCATTTATTCATTGTATTCAATATATCATATTATTCAATTTAACGTTGTTTGTTATCATTTTTCAAACTATTTATAAGCAATCTTATCTCTTGTAGCTTGTATATGTATCATATATTTATATCATTTTTAGATTTTTCTTTGGTTTAGGTTGATGTTAAATTCTTAAATAAAAATTTTTTAAATTTCGATATTAAGATCTCTGGTTAAACATTTTCAAGAGAATTATTAAATGCATTACTTTGAATGGAATTTAAAATAATAATAAAATAAATAAAACAAAAATGGAAGTATCAATTTATAAATGTTGATTATATATATTTTTTAGTATACTTACAATTATGTAAAATTTTAAGTATACTAAATTATATTTAAGAAACTCCCAATTGTAATATAATAAACTTTTAAAAAGATATTTGTTATATTGTATAAATAATTATTTAACAGAGATTATTTAAATATTATATAATTTTAAAAATAAACGCCTAGTAGAATTGACCCTGTACGGTGCGACTACTTTTTTCTTATGCTTCATTCATAATCTTTAATTAATGTTGTTGACTAAATTCATATTTTTTTCAGCAATTAGATTAATAAATATGCGTTTTTTTTATTACTAATAAAAATGAACAAATACAAATACATTTTGTTTTAAAATATTTGAATATAGTGCAATGCTATAATGATTGATACAATAAATAATGAATAGCCATTTAAAATTTTAATCATTTCGATTATCAAAATCTTCATCTACAATATAAATATATTCTACACATTATTTTTTAAATCGCGCGTACATATTTAATACATGTAAATGTGTAAAGGTGAAAATGCGTTATTCGTATAAGTTACGCGTACATTATTATGCGACTCATTCATAAGAAATATACGATATAATATTATTATAGTTTCATTTATATTTTACTCGATGCTGTCTGTCGGACTGTCATTTATCTCTTCTTTCCTTCGACATTTCGGGTCATGTTAGTTAGGCCCGTTCACTTGTGCAATCATAAAGCATTAATTTGGCACATTTAATTAGAATGTCATTTTTTCAGTACGGAAGCTTTTTCGATTCTCAATTTGTTCATGTTATTGTATTATTTTTACTCATTTTCTACTTACATATATGTATATTATGTCAATAATTCGTGCACTATTTCGATTTTCTTTCTCGATATAAATTAGCCTTTACATTATAATGTCGACTTAGATACATCTAAAATTCATCGTTATTCTGTTTCACTGTTAAGGTTCCTAGCTGCCCTTGTAGATGCGATAAACTATTTTTTTATTACCTATGTAATTGTATTTTACATTCGACTCGCAGTTTCGCAGGAGCCATCGCATTTTCAGTCACAGCGGTTAATTAAGTATATATTATAAATATCAGGTGCCTCGTCATCATTATCGTCACTCATGCATTTCTTTGTTTGTACAATGAAGGAATAATAAATCTTTTTAACAGTACAATCGATAAAAATTGAAAAAAATGAACTATAATTTTGTCATGCACCTTCATTCTTTCACTTAATTACGCAATATATGCAGCTATCTTAGTATATAGTGCATTTATTTATTTATTTGTAAATTGATTTTTGTAAAAAAATTCTGTATACACATTATGCCGTACATAAATGGCTATAGTGAATGTTCTTTTCTTTTCTTTTTTTCGTTAATTTTTCGAATTCTATGTCTATAGAAGTGTATAAATCGAGTATACTGAGTATTTATATTTACATTCATCTTAATATGTTATATTATGACAAATTATATTATGAAATTATTATCTCTGATGTATTCAATATTTTTATATTTGTTGCAAGAAAAAACATTATTATAACAAATTTTCATTATTGATACTATTTGATTCCTTTTTAATTACAATTAATGATCACTTGTTTAATTAATCAGTTGTTAAAGTATTAAATAAATCATAATACATTATTTCTGTATTTTAAGATAGTCTGAGACATGAGTATTGCATTAATTTACAAATTCCATTATTTAAAATCATTTATAACCTCAAAAATTAGTGAAAATATTCGATTTTTGTGCGGGTTATTTCTTTAATCATTGCCCAAACATGTCTCATCATTGTCAATGATTAAATATAAATAAAGGTGTTTTGTTTCAGTTATTTCAAAATCAAGGACAAATGACAATACTTTAATTGAAAATTCTCAATTATATTTCGTATAAGTTGATGAACTTGATAATGAAAATTAGTTAACAAAAAAAAACAGGAACATCTATGATTAAAAAAATTTCTTTAAAACGATAATCATTTAAACATTTAATTTTTTTTAGTATAAAATATTTCTGTAGCAATGCAGTGTTTTACAAATAATTATTTTGAACAATTTGTTTAAAAATAAACTAATTTTTCTAATATTGAAAATTTTTTCAAGAAGAGAAAATAGAAAAACAATGTTATGGTTTTCAACATTTGTCAACATTTTTTGGCAAAAATAATTTCTTTTTTTGAATTGAAATCTGTCAAATTTTACTTTATTTTGACTGAAAAGATACTCTAACGATGCATGTATAAAAGTCCGTCGATAGTATAAAAATAGAAAAGAGTACAATATTAATTTGATTTAATTTTTTAATTTAATTTCAATAATACAATAAATAAAATTTAATATATTTTAATTTTAAAATAATATACGTTACTTATTGTTTATTAAATAATTATTTACTATTATAATTTTATTTTTTATAAAATCAAAAAAAGGAAGATAAATCTTCATTTATGCTGAAAAAGTTATAATTATTGTTGAATGCGATTAAGTTCAATTTTATACTTCAAATATTTAAAAATAAAAAATATTTGTAAGTAAACAAGATAAAAATAATATTGCATAGTTTAGTCTAATCTAATAATAAAATAAAGTAGTAAAAATAATACTTGTGTAATAACCGAACGCTGTCGTGGGTGAAATTTGTCAAGCATAATAAAAAATACGGGAATTAACTAATTGCATCCTTTGCATGAATTTTTTTACATACAAAGAGAGAGGGAGGGTGAGGCGGATGAGAGTAAGAGATATGATGAAAGTACCGTTTGTTTTAAAAGAGACATTCAATGTCAAGTCTGTAAGAATGGAAAATTATTTTGTTATCAAATACGAAAAACATGATAAAACGTCTATTTTTCGAGTATATTGCTCGTACGTGTGTCTGTATGTATATACACTTTACCTAAAGTTTTATTTAAAATTTTTGTCTCTATTACCGTCAAATAGGTATAGTATTATTTCTGTAGATTTATCAATTTTCCTTTTATAAAAATCGACTATAACATGATTTTGATAATGTTTAATATTTTGATGATGGCTAATAAGTAGGAATTCCTGAACCAGTTTAATTAATTTTATCGTGCATTGTTTAAGCAGTCTAGTATGGTACAAGGATGTATCTATGGTCGTTACTTTTTTCCTTTTCTTGCATTTATTTCTTTGATATTTCATCTTTATACATATATACATGTAGTTGTACGTATTCACGCTCTTACTTTTACAGATTTTCTGATGACAACACAGTGCAAAAAGGAACTTTCAGCTGCTCATACGTGACAAATTTAAAAACCTTTTTTCTCTTTCCGTCCCTATCGATAAGAAAAACATTTTCTCCTTTTATGATACATCCGTTATGTTTTTGTATATAATATATATCCAATATTTATGTATACACGAATACATGGGTATGCATTTTTATATAATGATAAATTCAGTGTACTGTTATTCTCTCTACAAAGGTGTATTTTTAGGTTATGGTTTTTCATTTATTTGTAATTTCAACGTCCTATTTTAAAATTTATTTTTTCTTTGAAATGTAATCCTATATGAATATATGTGCTTATACACACGCATGCATGCAAACATTACAAAATATTTAATTTCTTGCACATGTGTATTTTTATGAGAAACAGTGATAGTTGCTTTATAGTACCAACATGACAAGGTTTATCCGATTTTAATTAAAAAAATTATCGTATTTTTAATTTAAAATATTTATATTGAATTACAATTTCTACAGAATTTAAATGATTTCCTCCGACGGTAAGTATTAAGTAGTAGTCTTTTAATATGATTTATTCTTCGCAAATAAAAATTGTCATATACAAAGTACAAAGGATGTCTTTTATAAATTTAATTATTTATAACATGGTATAGCTGTTAGAAATTCCGTAACAAAATTAATATGCAAATAAAAGTATTTATAAGATACATTTTTATAAAGAAGTAAAGATAATAATTATTATGTTAAATATTTTTATTCTGTTTGACGGAAAAATGAAAAATTAATATCTGCTTCTTTTCATATAATATGATAATTTAAATATCCCTTTATTGGAATAATATGTTAAACGGTATTCAGTTAACCAATCCAAAGGGTGACCATTACAATTTTTATTTTCATGCATGCAATATAGCAATGTGTATATTAAGAGTAATCTTATTGAATTGAATTTATTGATTTATATCAATTGCTATGTTGATTAGCCGATTAGGATTAGCATAATAACAGTTTGTTCATTATATAATTTGTTTGATTAGAGTTACGTCTGACGCCTAATAAATTAAGTATTAAGCGTTCAACCAGTCATAAGAATTTAATAGTCATTAATGACAACAAAGAGTGCCACTATAAATAGAAAAAAGTGAATAAGCGAGCTCAGAGCTTTTTCGTAAATGAAATGATCAAAAGAATACATCCTTAGTAGCCTCGATTCACTGCAGTTCTGTTTCTGCTATGCCACTTACACTTGAGAATGCGTACATAGGTCCTACGAAATGTAGCATTACAAAGAGCATAACAGACTGGGTTGACTGTGCTGTTAATGTAGCAGAGATAATAGAAGAAGTCCCAAAGCTCTTGGGGTATACAACCTGTACAGGCCGTCAGAGGCTTAAGGAGTACGAGAATGTTGTAAGGTGTCCAGGTGAAAATGAAGGCCGCGAGAATAGCCGAAAGTGTCTTGGCTGCTTTCTTTTCTTGAGACTTTTTTTTCTTTTTTGCTGGCGCTTTAGAAGCTGGACTCTTACTCACAACTTTTCCGATGTTTTTGGCGCTCAGTGGTATCCTCACGTCTTGCATTTGGGAGGGTCGACGCATCAGAGCTTTCCCGTCGTCGTTGCTCGTTGTTACTATGATCTCTTGATTGGAATTGTTTAACTCTACATTTGAGCGCATTGGATGAAAGCTTATCACGTCGTCTGCGAACATTTTTATGGTGGGTGCTTCGACGGTTCCGTATCTACCCAGGATTTGCGCCTCCTTGCCGCGTGGAACTGGTGGTGCTGGTAACCTTATTAATATCGTATACACCTGCACGATAGAGAAAGTCGGTTTTCGTTACTTTATTTTTTGGTTGAAAATCGGAGTATTTTATTTTGGTACATTAAATTAATTAATCAACTCGATCCATTTGATAATAATTTAACATAATAACATCATTGATTTATTTTCTAGAATTTTATAATTTTAAGATATATTTTAAGGTATAAAAAGAAAAATGTTAGTTGTTACAATTATTTATATATTAATATGTAACAAAGAAGTATATTTATAATTTAAAACAGTGAAATACTTACCATTTTACATAATTAAAAATTTAATTAATTTAAAATAAAAAAAATTATTGATACATCCACTAAAAATTATGGTGTATAGCATAAGCATTATCTACATTTAAAATTGTCATTCAAAAATATTTTTTTTAAGGAACAAATATCTATAATATATATAAAATTTTTGAAATACGGACAAATATTTTTGCATTGTGCATAAAATTTCGCAATATTAATAATTGCAAATATTTGGCTAATCTAATATTCTTTCGTTATAAGAATAACGCAAAATGAAATTATCTACAATTCTATTCTAACGACTATTCTATACAACTTTATAATTCTTCTTAAGAATGCAGAATTCAAAATGTTTTTATTATGCCACGTATTTAAATTATTTATATCAGTAATTGATCTAATACTATTTTTTTATTTTAAGTAAATTGAATTCGTTTATTCTTTATTTTACCTATTTTAATTTATACTATTAAAATAGTTCAAATAATTTTATGTTAAAAATGAAATTCGATGATTCATAATTTATTTATTATACTAAAAACAACTAGCATGATTTTAGGGAAAAAATAAAATAAATTACGAAGTTATAAGAAATAAGATAAAAATTATATGTTGCAAGTTAAATTAATTTCTATATCGTATATTCGTAAATTCGATACAATATAATTACTTTTCAACTAGGCAGATATTAGCATTATTTTTATAATATTATTGAGTTTAATAATTTAATGTATCAATTAGTTTGATTAATGTATAATCATCAAGAAAATTTAATATATCATATTATATATTAACAAACGTAAATGGCATTTCGTATATTAATTGTGTCATGTAAGAGTAAGTTCAATATATTTTTAGTATAATAGTATTTAATATTTGTATCACTTTAATATATTTCAAGGATAATTTTATCTATAGATTAATATAATATTTATTTATATACGGAACTATTTAGATTGTTGACATTTATAATCTCTTTAAATTTAAAAATTCATCTAAATTTTTAGTATCAGCTTTTTTCTTTCAACGTGCATACTTAATTCATCGTTTTCATCAACTCCATATCACCATATGGAATCAAATTTATTTGTATATCAAGTTGGCAGCTAATATGACGAAATTGACGCATGCTTTATTTTCGAAAAAAGTATGAAACGAGAAAGTGTATAATGCGATTGTTTCTTCGCGATTGTTCTCAAATGTTAGAAATATTAATTGGCCATAGATTGTTAATGTAATACGAAATGCGTTTGGAGTACTAGAGTTGTAATAATATTTGTTCAGTTTGAATAGCTGGACCGCGATAAAAGACGGGGAGCAGTAAATTTTGGCATTCAGCCAGACTTCCAATGTATACTCAAGGATTACCACCTAGATAGATTCTATTATTTTATGAACTTGCGTTTAGGCACAATTAAAATCACCCTCGGGTGTGCCTACTTAATTTATTGATTTTTTTTTCAATATCATGCACAAATCGAGATTTTTTATAGCTTCAAGGATTTTACCTTTTTATAGGTTAATAATATGTACACGTAAGTAACATAAAAAATTACCTTGTTCTTGTCATACATATTATCAAATAGAATATATAAATGAGCAACTACAAAAAAATTTTTAAGTTTGCTTACATAAAGTTTATATTATTATTTATATATTCTATTTATACACACATATTAACGCTTCAAGTAGGATGTATTGCTACAAAATAATTATCTACTTTTACTGGCTATTATTATTTTAATTGTTTCATATTCTATTTCAAGATTAATACCATTTTTCATAACTAAATCAGGAAAGATATCAAAGAAAAATATGATAATTTTCAATGAATTTTGTTTCTTTTTTTAATATTTTAAAACAATCTTTAAGAATTGTTTCCTAGATTATAATAAATCTTGATTCATTTTCTTAATATTTAAATTTACTTAATCTCTATTTTGTTTAAATTTTCTCCATATTTGATCATCCAATAATTTAAAAATTTTTATAATAATATATTTGCAGATGTATGAAAATTTATTTAGAGATTTTATGCAAATTGAAGAATTAACAATAAAATTATATTATATAAAATTCCCTTATTTTTATTAAAAAACAATCAATTGAATGTTATATATAAGTTAATTATCATAGATAAGGATAAAGACTTTGAAATCTTACCAACTAAGATTCTTTTCCAATTTGTTCTTCCAATTTAGAGAATCTTATTAAATTTATTTTACTGATTACTGATCGATATATAATAGACAGTATTTAAGTCTCTTTATTTTACTTATTTGATTAAAATATTATATAAAAAACCCATATGCAATGACATTGAATTATAAATTTGTTAACTAAATAAAAGTTGTATTGTAGATATAATTTATATCACTTATAGAATATAAACTTTGTCCTGTTTAAATATAGACTATTTATACTAAGATAGACTTTTCGATAGATTTGAGTTTCTATTTAAAATCTTAAATTAAAGTATAATATTAATATTGTATAAAATTATTATCTTTAAATATAATTTTATATAATAAATATATAAATATATAATAAATATATAATAAATATATAAATGAATTTGTGAAACATTATATCTTTATATCATAATAATGTTAATATGTGAAAATCATTTTTTCATAAATTAAATAACAAAGATTTTTGATATGCGGCAATAGATAATTATATAAATATTAATAATTAAAATAAAACAATATTTTCCCATTAAAGTACTAATATAATTTGGAAATATGTAATCAGTTGTTAGAAATATATAGCAAAAATACCAAACGAATAAATATTTCATATTTATTTCGATATTAAAACTTAATCGATTTTTACGAATGAATACTGTGTCTGAAAATCTTTATAAACGACAAGATGTTTTGTCTTTTATTAAAGATTAAATATGCATAATGGAATTATGTTACTGAATTTTTTTTACAAAATTATATAAGTTTTGGTAGTAAGCCTTCCATTGTATCTATATATCAACATGTGTTAGATATCCAATTGAAATTTATTACTTTAAACTACGCTAAAAATATATCAGTTTATATAGCTGATAATTAATACACAATATTTATATAAATAAGCTATGACAACGTACATAAAACTAAGCATAAATTGTTTGGTAATTCTAAGATAAAAAATTACGATATAAACATTAAAAAATATAAATAAAATTGTTCATTTTCACGATTGAAATTTTGCTTATTTTTGCATATTTGTAATTTACTAAAGTTATTTTCTTCAATAAATAGACATCTGGAAATATTTAGGAAATTACAATGTCTAAAGGCAAGTTCTGACCTCTCTAATTTTCTGAGTTCTCTACTTTTATAATGCATTATATTTGCATTAATGTAATAAACGTCATATTGTTCATTTTGTTATTGATATACATCTTACGTGATATTGTTACTTTATATATCTAATGCAAGTATTTTAAAAAGTTAAATAACCTATATAATATCTTCATTAACTTTATTAAATTTCACAGACTTGTTTTTCATTTAATGATTGATGACTAATTACTGACTAATTAACAACTAATAAAAATGACCTCGAATATTTTCCCTGTTAGGATTTAATTTTAAATGGTATAGACTTGTTACAATACCTACAACCATACACACATACATGCGCACGCGCGCACCTATATATATATATAAATAAATAAATAGACTTGGAACAACGATTTATAATAAGAGTTTCAAATTTTAAATGTAAGCTAATTGGCCTTGGAATCAATCTGGTTGCTATTCTCACCGAGTCATTCGTCATGTTCTTGCTGGCGATAGTGCCAGCGCTCGTTGCCCCGGAAGCTCGTAACGCCGATGGCCTTACGTATTCTGCTTGCTGTTCAAGCCTGTCAAGATTCAGGCTTGTCGATTGAACGACGCCGAAGGAGTCGCAACGCGACATTACACTTGCGACTGGTGTTTCTAGCGAAACAGGAGTCAATGTATCATCAAAAGCAGCAGCTGTGCGACTACTTTCTGGGCCACCCACCTCGTCCTCATCATCATCCTCATCCTCATCCTCGCGGCCGCTGTGCCACCACGCGATGCACCACATCTTTAGCCAAGTCCACGAGAGCGGTCGGTGCTTCTGAAAATCGTGATACTGTATTGATATTGTGAAGTCGGAGACCCGTAATATTCTTACTTTTAGTGAAAGCAGTATTTATATGACAACGAAAATTTCCTTTAATTTTCTCTTTTACTTTTTTAAATTTAAGATTACTTTATCAAGATGAGTCAAAAATGCCAGTGATCATCATTAATTTCATTTAATAATTGCATTTTTTTATACTATTAAAAAAATTATCTTTTATTTTTGGATTGAAAAAGCTTAGCTGATTACATTTAAGATTTATTGATTTTTTAGAGCTTAAATGTTCCTCTAAAAGAAAGCTATTATTTGTAACATCTTTTCAAATAATTTTCTACTAGTTGAAAATCTAATTTTTGTCCTTAATATATAATTGAAAATATACAACATAGAATTTTGGACGAATACAAATATTATTGTTTTGTTTTTTGGTTTTTATTTTTTTTTTTCTTATACATAATTATTCATAAAATGATTTAATTTATATTTTATATACAAAATACATGGTCAGTGCTTAGTTTCATTATTCTTGATTCAGTTGTAATTATTTTTTCATCAATTTGTATAAATTATAAAGATTATTTTGTTTTTTATTCAGAATATCTATCTGCGTAAATATACATCGCGAAAAAAATTGTAAATTATATTTTTCGCTTCTACTTGTCTTAAAATATGGATTTATATTATTATTTAAGAAAATTTAATAGTACGGAATAATTAGAAAATTTTGATTTATTAAGCTTGTAATTAAATGTATTATATTTATTAATCAAAATAAAAATTCTCAAAGAGAAATTAAATGCAATAGTATAAAAACCTATCTATATTATTTACCATTGCATTCAATTTTTCTATTTGTCACGATTTTTAGAAGAACATATTGAATTAAGCGAATATGATGATATTTCATGATATTGAGTAAGTTATCAGCTCCAAATATTTTAAAATATAATCATGCTATAGATAAGTTTGTATATTTTGATATATATTTAAATAGAAAACTTGAAAAATTATAGTAATAATAAAAGCAATAAATATTTAATATAAAAGTAAATAAATTATAATTATTAGTTTGCTAATAAAGTATTCTGCTCTTTTTTGGAAATTATTATTATTGAGATGAATAATATAATTAAAAATAATATGATATAATCTATTATAATGAATTATTTATATTATATTTAAAAACAATTTCTATCATATTTAAAATGCATACTTTAATGCATATTTTAATTAAAATAATTCTGTAGTTTAGATTTATTTATTTATTTGTTTAAGTATTCATAAAATATATACATCAATAAAATATAATATAGCGTGTATTATAAAATAAGAATCAAGCCATATTTTCATTGCAGTATAATCTAATAAAATGAGTATAATAAAATATTGAATTGAAAATTATAAAATGATTATTAAGAGTAGCGTAAATAAAATAAACGAAGTTATTTACTGAAGCGCTGATTACAACAACAGAAAATATTAAAAAGCATATTTGGAATTTTTATTTCACTTATAAATTTCGGATTCGTTTTATTATTCTTACTTTTACTTTAAGTTTCGTATAAGGGTAATTGTTATTTTTATTATTTTAGCATCTAAAGCAATCCTGCGCGGGAATAAGCATATTTCTATTTTAAAATAAGATATAAAAAGTTTCATTGTCAAAGCATAGATGTCTGTAACATACGATGGAGTAGAAATATCTAAAATATTGTAAAAGAGTTACGTGTATTATATTTTCTTGGTGAATAAGAAGAAGAAATGAAAAAAAAAATTATAGGAAAAACGAATAAATTTCATATATAGGAGATATATTGATATTATTAAAATAGTATACAGTTCCGATTCATGAAGCAAAAGAAGAATATAATAACTTACTATCTTATGTTGAGGATAATGCCTGTCAAGATAGGAAACAGCAATATGCGTGGAATTCGCCTCATCTCCTGCTCCCGTACTTGATTCGCTTCTTGGCCTCCTGCACTCCTCCATATCCAAAGCCTCGTCGCTATGCAATAGGAAAAACGGTATATTACTTCGACTGTATTACTTCCTGTATTTTTTCTTTTGCTGGATTATTAGACTGCAATTTCTTTTTGTTGTTTACAGATAATGATCATAGACAAAATGAAAATAGATTATCATATTTAAAGTGGTACTCATTAGGTAAAGGAGGACTCCAAAATGATCAATTATGTCTACATATACTATGTAGCATATAAGAACGATTACTCGGAATACCTTTTTTGAATACACTTAGTAATTAAACGTTTCAAATAGTTTTCATACTATATTATTCCCAAATATATTTCACCATTTTATATTAATAATACTATTGTTCTTTATTTAAAAAAAAAAACAAGTTTTTATTTTGAGAGCTACTTCTTATTTTTGAACATTCAATATTTAAAAAAAATAACTTTATTAATAGTCTTTAAATCTGAAATAAATATTAAGACCACTATTTTTTTACTGTGTATCTAAAACGCATAATGATATCAAACATTTATATTTTTAATCAAATTAAATACAGCGTATGAACTATAACAAATATTGTCAAGTCTATTTAATTTTTGTATAATCTAAACAAATACTTTAATATCTTTGTCTAATAGTTTTTCATATAGAGTTGTAATTTTAATTAAATTTAATTGAATTATAAAATATTTAAGAAAATTGTAATTTTGTATATTTATTGAATTATTGTTAAGAAAAATAATTAAGTCAAGTCAATTTGAAATATTTTCATATAATTAATAATTTATTAAAATAATGTATCAATTTTCATAAAATTATTGAACCATCTGAAAAATAATTAGATGTGTTAAAATATGGTGTAAAAATATCGATTAGTAGAGTATTGTAGAAGAATGTAGTAAGATTTAAAAAAAGAGAAAAAACTAGTGGATAACTTTCTCTAACATTTTCTATAGTTAAAGCTTTTTCTCGAGTATATGTATGTAAAAATATTTTTGTTTAAATTTTTATATTTTTAAAATTTATAAAATAAGTTTTTGATTTATTATCTAATACTTTAAAATAGAAAGAAAAATAAAAGCTTTTTTTCTCATTTTCAAATATATAAATTATTATTTAATATTACAATACAGTGTCATTATACAATGACTAATTTTGTAATTAATAAAAAACAATATCGTGATATTATAAATCTTCATAAGAATGATTTTTAGAATATTAATGTAAATATTTTTTAATTCTACATAATTTTTAAATAAATTATAACTAAAGTTATTTTCAATTTAGTAGTAAATACTTAAAACCTTATGACTTAATATAGAAGTTTATTACTTAATACAAAATTTTCTATTTAATTATTGATGTAATTATACTTCTATATATATATGAAAAATATTTTTAAAAAAGAAATTTGAATTTATAGGTTAATTGAATTATAACGTATTACATTCGCTTATATACATATGTACATATATGTACATATTTATTATTTCACTGTACAGTTAGGAGATTTTTAAAATAAAAAATATAATTTCCTGTATTTATTTACCCTAATATCTGTGTTTTTTTTATTTTAATAGTTAAATAACATTAGTTTACTTGAATATATATATATATATATATATATATATATAATATTATTATCAATTCTAAGAAATTTATTATGTATAATACTAATATTTTTTTGACATAAGTAAATTGTTTCAATATTTACATAAAAATTATATATATATATATAAATTGTATTTAATTTTCATTTAATATAGTTTCGTGATCAGTCACTTCAGTTTTATAAAATCTTAATGTTTGATGTTTAGAAACGATATGTATATTTATTTAAATGCAATATTTTATATAATAAATAATATAATTTATTATTTTTTCATTATAAATATAAATTATATTAATTAGTAAATATTGGAGAAATTCTATAAACATTTGTAATTGAATTTTGTTCAATGAATAATATTTTTAACAGTGGAAATTCTGTTTATAAAGAATATTAAAAAGGTATTTTAAACATTATTTTGCTTTTATATTTTTACAAAATTGATTAAATTTATACTATGCGTTTCGACAAAATCAAAATAATTGTAACTAAGCAGTTTTTGTTATCTTTAAAAATAAAACATACGCTCTAATATTATATATTTATATATTATTTTTTCAATTTCTATTCACTTACAAAATTTGGAAAGTATGAAATTCGCAAGTCAATGGATCAAGAATGAAAGTAATTTCTTAAATGATAAATTAAATTTTTTAATCCTTATTAATAACAGAAAAGTAAATGTACAAATTAAAAAATATAACTTCATTAATAAGTGTCAAGTTTTGTTAAAATTCAAACTCAAAAATAAATTTTTCTTTTGTTAGACATATAAACAAATTGTTTTGCCTACGCTCCACAGTTTTTAAGCTGATATTCAAAAGTAATTTCCAAAACTTAGCAAACGAACCTGGAATTGCTCCGCTTACTTGCGTCCTGTTTGCCGGCCTGCAGATTGGGCAGATCCTTTTGTCGTTTCTCCGTCTCCTGCCAAATGCGCCAGTAGAGAAAGATCATTACAGTGACGGGAACATAGAAGGCGGCTATAGCTGTGCCGAATGTGATGTAGTGATTGGTCTCGATGAACTGAATGTAACAGGAGTATTCCGGAACCGTGCGCTCACCCTCAATGTATGGCCAGGCATATATCCAGGGCGGCCAGAGCAAGAGCGAAATTCCCCAAGCACATGCTGCAGAAGGATGTTAGCAAGTATACCTATCAGTTTGGTCTATTTTTGCCATATCGAGTGATTTAGGATAAAAAATATGCTTTGAACTCGTCTCCATTGATCGCGTATACGAATATGGGACTACCAATTCTGTGTGCATTTATGCATGATTGCGTATATGTAGCAACTAGTAATGAAGCGACGAAATTTCTTTTTGATACGATTTTTGTTGTAATCGATAGATAAGATTTCATTCCTTCATTATTAACAAAGGCTGTTTCTATGTTACTCGATCGCGATGTCGGAGGACTATTTAGGCGAACTAGTTGCATGGAAAGTAATTATACATATATATAATCCAAATATATAAATCCTAATATATGGTAGTGGTTTCCTCCTGTCGTATGTCACTTTAATGACACATGATTTTAGTAATACAGGTCACGAAAAACCTTTTCATTCTTGATGCTTGTTTTTATCACAGAACAATATCCGACGAAAGTATCTTTTCTACGATGCAATATTCTTTCACAATATATTACGTGTAAAACGTCGACCTATAGGCGACATTTTATGCGAAATTATGTTTATATTAAATATATTTTATTATTATTATATTATTTTTAGTATGTTTTTTTTAAGAAACCTGTTTCCACTATACTATATACTCAATATTGACTAACCTTAATCCCATATTATTCCAAAAGATAAAATGTTTATTACCCAGCGTAGAAAGTACATTTTCTAAATTAAGCATGATTATAATCATATTAAAAAAATATTTAAAGTTAGTTTTTCAAAACCCCCTTTAAAACTAGTGAAACTTATTATACATAATATTACAATTGGCTGCATATATTCATTTGTTTGTTTACCAATAATAATTTTCTTTAACTAATAAATAAAAAAAACATGAAGTTAAACAAATTATTATCACTTTTTATATGTTTTGTATTGGAGTTATATTGTATTTTTTGCATAAAACGTAGCTATATATATACATATAAGTTTATACAAGTTAAGTACAAAAAATTTACTTTACATATAGAATACATTTAATTATCATTAAATTTACTGTATTAGACATACTTCTATGTAAAATTTAAAAACGAACTTCATCAGTATTGAAAATAATTTTTCACTATTTTTCGATAAAAAAAATTATTATGTTAAGTGTTTAGAAATTAGAATTTTCGAAAAATAAAGAAATATATCTTTCAAAATCATTCAAAATTTTTGATAATATTTATAATATTAATTATATTAATGAAATATTGTTTTTTTATAACTTTTAAAATAATTATACAATTCATTATTCTTAAATTGAACATTAGTGCTATAGTAGTATTATTAATCCCTACAACAATAATGTAGATGAGTAAATTAAAATTTGACAAAGCGTTGCTTTTATTTATATCTTTATGTTTTTAAATATTAAATTTTTAAATATGTATTACAATATTGCTTATTTTTTTATTATTGATATTTATCTTTTAGATATAACATTTTTTAGGATTATGAATTATTTGACTTTATGAAGTGTATACGTGTTGAAGATTAGGCAATAGATTTCATGTTTATCGTAGCCGTTCAAAAGGATGTGCTGAAACGATTATCAAGACAGTTAATTAGTTCATAATTTGTTTCAACTACAACTCACCAATCATGATGCCAGCTTTAACAGTCGTTCTCTTAGCCCTGTAAGTGAGCGGCCTGGTAACGGAAAAGTACCTGTCGAAGCTGATTATGAGAAGGTTGAGTACGGAGGCGTTACTAGCCAGATAGTCAAGGGCCAACCATGTGTCGCAAATGTGGGAGCCGAGAGGCCAATAACCTAGCACTGTGTAGACGGTAAAAAGTGGCATGGATATAAGACCAATAGCAAAGTCCGCTACTGCTAGACTGAAGAGGAAATAATTCGAAATAGTTTGAAGTTGTTTATCGATTTTGAAGCTGACCATGACCATAATATTGCCGATAACTGTCACGAGGCTGAGGCAGGTAGCAACAATGCTAATGAGAATAACCTGCCAGAGGGTGTACTGACGGCCGAGTTTGTATTCATCGTCCCAGCCAGTAAGGTTGGCCTCCAGCAGACTGTTGTTTAAGTCCGGCAATAAGCTCGTCACAGCCAGCGTTACATTCATCCTTTTTCGGCTTTCTTCTTGGCTTCTTCCTCGTCTGTGCCCTTTATCGCTGTTGTCACTACTACCGCTTTTGTCACCCACCTACGCTCGAGTTGTAGTCCCACCGGAAATACTTCACTCTTTCTAGGTGTGCTCATATATTTGTATATTAAAAGGCCAGACGCCTAGTTTTACATGCTTTGCTGTCGCCAGTCCTGGCTCCTACGTTTGCCTTCGTCTGTTCGAGCACCACAAACTTCTTCCTCTACCAGCAGCCAGTTTCGAACACCTCGGCCACCGCGCCGCCGCCTCCGCCTAGCTATCCGTCTCACGAGCTGGAAACAACGTCAACTACATCCCACGACCTTTGCTCCAGCTACCGACACGAACATCGATTCTTCCTCTTCTTCGTCCTCAACCCTTGCTTCTTCTTCTGCAATCAGAAAAGCGGAACCTTCGTGAAAGGGTTGATCGCAATTGCACAGAAGGGAGGACAAGGTAAAGAAGGACGAAAGTTGGAATGTCAAATCACCACGACTACTCGTGTGAGCATTCTTTGCGAGTTATATAAGATGTACAAATATCAAATATTGTTACATTAAAATCTGGATTTCTTGCTTACTGGCAATTTTCTGTCACTCGGCTTTTCAAAAAGTCGAATTGCAGAGAATGTACGTGAGCATGGATCCTCTTGCAACCTGTATTGCCATCTATTCGATTACTTAAATATTCTAAATGTCAGAGATTGAATAAGCTAGACAAGCTACCCTCCCAATTTTTATCGATCACTGGGTGCACCTTATAATCTTTGGAATAACTTCATGTTACGGACCGATAAACCTGAGCTCACAATCCATTTTTACAAAAAATTATTCTGAAACTTTTATTTAGATTTTCTATTTATAGCTATATTTAGTCATAATTGACTAAAGAAGTTAAATATTTAATTAAGAAATAATTATAACTTCATTCGTATTTTTGCATACATAATATAGAATAATATTTACAGTTACATGCTTATTATTAACATTAATAGTCCAGGTAATTATAATTTTTTATGTCAGACAAATAAATAAAAATCAACTATATCACTAATTCATTTTAAATTTCGAGCAATATTTGAATAACATTAATAGTCCAGGTAATTATAATTTTTTATGTCAGACAATTATTGCTTTATCATCATGAATTTTTGTAATGTTTAATAACGTTTAATAATAATTAACATTAATTTCTTTATTCTCTGAATTTAAAGAACTTATAATATATAAATATGTAATATATTTTTTCAAAATATCTAAAGAATAACAAAAAACTGTAATTTAATATATCTAAGAAATAAAAAAATAAATATATATCGATATATTGATTAAATTGATGTATTTAAAGTAAGTGTATGAATATATATATATATATATATATATATAATATATTAGGTTTGAGAACAATTTAATAAATATAAATTAATATCAAAATATTTTAGTGTCATCTACTACATTTAAAGGTTAGATATTATTTTCATCTTTTAAATTTTATTTTTACTTACATATAATGTTTTATTCTATGAAAAATATTAAAAATGTATTCAAATTTAGTTTTCTTTAAATGGAAATATGAAAACAATCATTTACATATTGTTTTCTATTTTCAAATTCAATCTATTTTCAAAAAAGTTTAATATTTTAGTAATTAGATTATATATTATATTAATGCAAATTTTTCATTTCACTTTGTGATACATGGCAAATTAGATGACAAGTGCAATGAGCATAAGGTTCGCGTACTTAGTTTAACGACCTAGTTTAATGGCGTATCCTTAATTAAGATGGAGAAGCAACTCGATCGAATTATCAATAAAAATTATTTATCATAGATGTGTATACTCACTTAGTGAAGTCGCAGATTCGTTGCTGAAGCAGTGCATGTTAAATTCTGGTAAATACTGAGGACGTTCATTCGGCCCGTATCTGTGGCTTTTGAAGACACATGATGATAATGCATTTCGCGTAGAGACTGTGATATGTCGACGATCCCTTACCCATTAATAGTACTGCATCGTTGACGTCTTAAGCTCTGTAAGTACAACAGCCTTTTTTACAATAACCATCAAAGATGGTTATTGCGTCTCAGTGATTTTAATCGACCTTTTTTCCCATTGGATTTCTCATTCCAAGTATACTTTAACATTTATATTTCAAATGCTCACTTGTTCTATGTTATTTAAGTAGCAAAAATTATCAGCTTGACTGAGGACGCCAGAATATAGAAAGTAGAACAGAAGTTCAATCAAATTGCATTCTTATTATTTTACATCTAGATATAAAGTACTGTATGATCATTATTAATAAAATTTTAATACACTCAGAATATTAAAATTATTAAATAACATAACGTTTGTCAAAGTACTATATTAAAACCTTACGTTTAAAAACATTTTCTAATTTGTGCAATAACAAATGAAATGATAAATAATAACTTTAAACACAATTTAGTTTTTAAAAATTCAATTGCTACAAATATTAAAAATACAATATAAATATCTTTTTAAATTCTATTTCAATATTAACTTTATAACTCAATACAGTTTTCTCCTGAATTTAATTAAATACTATTAATTATTACGTGAATTAGTGTCGTCTGATAAAAAATTTCTTCCGTCAAAATTTATGATAATTAATAACGATGAAAGATTTTATAAGATTCTTGATGCTGTTAATAATATAGTTGAAATTTTTTATTTTATTCGGTATGTAAAAATAATATTAGTTAATATATATTATTTCAATTTTTATTTTTGATCAAAATTCACTTATTTTAATGTATTACATATTCCAAACCATAATAAATTTTCAAATCTATTATAATTTTTATAAGTTTTTAAATCACTCAAGAGTATATTATTGAAGGCATTAAAAATTATTCATATTAAAACAGGCTAAAAAATTTAAGCTAAGACATTTGTTTACATTCAATTTCTGTATACAGTGCTATACAAAATAATATTAATCTTGTTTTAGAAAAGATAAAACAACTTTTTTTTAAAGCATAGTTTTAAAGAATGTTTTAAGGATAATAATGAACGTTTTTAAGTTATTGCAACGTTAATTTCAAGTTGACAAATTTCGAAAAATCAAAATATAAACTAATATTGAAATTAAAAGAATAATAATAAATTTTTTTTAATATCAGACTTTTATTTTTTTATAAATTTTTATAAACTGACGTATATATATATACACATAAATATCAAAAGTATATATATATAATCAAACATATTCTTATACCTTTTTTATTTATTTCAATTATTATTATTTTATTTTAATTACTTTAGTAAAATATGAATTTGTTAAATTAGGTTTTGAAGTCTACAGTCAGTTTCATCGAATATCAATAAAATCAATTTTACTACTTTTTCGGATAATTCATTAAATAAAACTAGTATATGATTTAATGCATCTTTTTAAATTGATTGTATAACGTTCGACTATACAGAAAAATAGAATTTCTCTTTTAAAAAATTATTATATTTTGCTAATAAATGATATAACTTATAAAATATTTTATATTTTCAAATTAAACAATATATTTAATTAATAAATATGCTATGAAAAGGTATGTCAATAAAATGTTTACATTACTTAATATTCAAATTAAAATTGTAGCTATTGAAATGTTGTGAAGAATTAACTAGTTTTAAAAAATATGGAATTTAATTTTTGTAATTTTTGTGCAGATAATCTTATAATAATTTAAAAAATTTTGTTATGTTCGACCACTCTGTCTTCGGCCACATATATTTTCGTCAATAATTTCAGTTAATTTTTATTGATATTATATAACATATATATTAAAATATAACATGTTATTATTAAAAAAACTATATTTATGCTATATAAGAGTAATAAGACAAAAATACTTTTAGAAAACTATAATTTACGTTGATAATTCCACTTGTTATAATATAGGATAGATTTATTTCTTTACCATTTATACAAATTTTATACCCTTTTATACAAATTTTCTTTTTTAACGGAAATAATCAGTTTTTTATATAAATGCACTGTTCCATCTAAATTTTATCAAACTTTACAATAGAAGATATTTAAAAATGAGTGAAAAAATTGAAAATGAAAATGTAAAATTATAAAAATAGTACAATGACAACCGGAATCAAGATAATATTAACACTACTAATAGCGATAACAACAAAAAATAAGAGAAGTAAATGTATAAGTAAAGTAAGTGAATGTCAGTTCTCTGTATAAGTAACGGATAAGTAAATGTAAGTTCTATTAACGTTTTTGCGCTAGAATGGAAGAATTTAGTTTCCATATGTTCCAGTGTTTCTTATTAATCTTTTTGCTTCGTGTTGCCGCGAAAAGTATGGTTCTGAAAACTTTTGTAATCCAAATATCAAACTGACACACATGCTTAGTGTATGAACTTTTGCGAAGATGCAAACACTGTAGAAGTAAAACTTTCAATCGAAGGGTGAGTATCAAAGAGTCTCTTTCTTATTGTCTCCTTTTTGCTTTTACGATGGTGCTATATACAATATTGGTAGTAGTAGATCACCGAAGGCATTGACGGTCATCGTTTTTCCGTTTACGCGACCGATAATGAATATAATACAACGAGAAATAGAGTCAGATGCAAAGGAAGGAATGAAAGTATAAAAACAAAGAGAGATAGATATAAATGGCCGTGATGGATAGGGAGGTGGGGGATTGAGAGGAATGAAAAGTTGACGCAGAGTCTGTATGCTTTTGTTCAAAACAGAATATGAGAACAACGCATAAAAGCACATATTTTTGTATTTTAATGTAAGTTTCAATCCATTTGTGCGTAAGATAAAAGTGTCAATACCAGTGAACGTTGATTTGTAGCTATTTTAATCATGTTTATTTGCATATATATCAATAATTCATAAGTAAGCTGTACGAATTATTTTTAAAATAACACGTTAAGACTTTACTTGATTAAAGAATTTCTTACTATTCCTTACAAAATAATATTTATATATTTTTGCATAATAGAATAAGTAAATTTAATAATAACATTGTTGGCTCTCTCTCTCTCTCTCATTCTCTCTCTTTGTCCTCTTTCTCTCTCTCTCTCCCTAAATATATATATATATATATATATATATATATACACACAAATAAGTATATAAATGTACATATATATGTATGTATGCACATTCGCGCGTGCGTGCGTATATATG